CGGTGGCGGAGTTATGGTCGATCACCCATCCGTGAACATCCACTTGCAGGCATCTCCCCCTCCTTTCCTCACGCATCGCCACTACCACACTACAGAACGCTCGCCGCTCGCCGAGCTCCCCGCGTACGAAAAGTTACCCGCGTGTGCGAAACCGTGCGACAGAGACACTCCGAAAGCCGTTTTCTTTATGACATGTCGGCAGAGCCCCGGGCCGATGACGAAATCTCCTGATAACCTGACGCCGCTACTACCATGCCCCGATAGCCCAGTAACGCCTGACTGTAAACGGCAAGCGAGGAAGCTACATTCGGGGAAAGCCCGGGGGTTGCTAACGCCGAGCTCGATACCAGAAGCGAGTAAATGGTTTTCGCGGAAATGGCAAGAAGGGCGGCGCGTGGCGCTGTTGAGTTTCCGCGCTTCCGTGTTTCTCATCGTCATCGGTTTCACCATGGTCGCCTTCTCATTCAACGCCATCCCGACTACACACCACGTAAGCACGCGAAGGTTCATACCGAATCTGTCCCCCGTTCAGCTCCGTCCCTTCCCCATTTCCCGCGTCTGTCTATTTAGTTGCTTCTTTATCGTTATTGCCCTCTGCTGTTACATATCTGTGCAGCTTCGCTTAAGTGTCTCGATGTTTTGTTTTCTGTTTCTCCTGTGTTTTTTCCTCCAGACCGTCAGCCTTAAACCAACAAGCTCTATCGAGGAACGAAGCGGGCCAAAGTCGCTCTTCGGTAGTGAGTTCGCAAGGGCGATTTTTGCCGAGTCGGGTTACAACATTGCAGCAGATACGCAATCCGGGCCTTGCTCGACGTCGGGATCTGAAGGAGGCGCGGCAGGTTCTGGGGCTGGAAGTTCAGTTTCGGCAGAGCTAGAGCCGCAGGAAGTCTCCTCCGAAGTACAAATACTATTGAGTCGAAGGGGAGCGGATGTCACGGCGGCGAGAGTGATGCTTGAGGTTGACGGGAGTGAGGGGTTGAGATTGGCGGATAGGAGGGAAGGGGCGGATTATAGTGAAGCACAGGGGGATGGGGAGGCGGAAGGGGAGGGGGAGGGGGAGGGAGAAGGGGAGGGGGAGAGTGAGGCGGGAGACGCGGAGGAAAAGGGAAGCGGTGATTACAACAAATCGGCTGATAAAGTCGAGCAAGCAGAGGGGGATTCATCGTCGTCTTCCGCCTTCCCTTCCCCTGGGTCGTTCATTCCGCTTCCACCCGTGTTGGCGGGAGATGCGCATCCTCCCCCCGCGCCCGTCAAGGAGCAGTTTCTGTGGCGCAACCCGCGCAGCCACGGCTACGCCAAGTGCAATGCGGAGGGCAAAAAGGGCGCCGCGCTCCAAGGTGAGGGGGGCGGAGCAAGGAACGCGGGGACGGAAATGGGGGAACGCGGGGGTTGCAGTAAAGAAAGCACAGAGCGATGGAAGTATTCGCTCTCATTTGACGGGAAAGCCCAATTGGCCATTCGCACGGATGGCGGCGGATCGACAGCTCCTCGGGGCAATGGGAGGGTGGCGGGTCAAACTCCGCCGATACCGTTTCCGTCATGCATTTTTCCCTTCATCATAACACAGCTTCCGTCATAAAGCTGTACTTAACTTTCCTCTCCCTCGCATGTCGCGTATCGCCCCGTTTCCGCAGATCGTCGCAAGGGCAGTCGCGGTCCTCTTCACAGTCGCCTGCGGGGTCGCCCGGCGAAATCTGCAGTGGAGCACGCGGCGCGCGCAATGGCAATGGCGGAGTGGGAGCGGAAGGTTCAGGACCCTGCGCGGCGAAAGCGCGTGCTAATATTGATGAGTGACACTGGCGGGGGCCATCGCGCGAGCGCGGAGGCTCTGAAATCGACGTTCGAGATGGAATTCGGTGACAAGTATGACGTCAACGTCGTCGACATGTGGACGGATCACACGCCATGGCCGTTTAACCAACTCCCCAAGAGCTACAACTTTCTCGTCCGACACGAGACGCTCTGGAAAATGACCTACTATGCGACGAAGCCCAAGTTCGTGCATCAGCCGCAGATGGCGGCGACGTTTGCGTTTGTGGCGCGGACGGTGTCCAAGGGGTTGGATAAATACAAGCCGGACGTGATTGTAAGCGTGCACCCGTTGATGCAGCACATTCCGCTGCGTGTGCTTAAATCGAGGGGCCTTCTACACCGCATCCCGTTCATCACTGTAGTCACGGATCTCACCACCTGCCATCCGACGTGGTTCAGCAGACAAGTCAGCGTTTGTTTCTGCCCGACGAAGGAAGTCGCGCAACAGGCACTTAAAGCCGGACTTCAGCCATCGCAAATCCGGGTGCACGGGCTCCCCATCCGCCCCGCCTTCGCCAAGCCTTCGGGGCCTCAGGCCGAGGTTCGACAATCACTAGGCATGGACCCTGAACTGCCAGCGGTGCTGCTGATTGGCGGAGGCGAAGGCATGGGCCCAGTTGAGGTGACCGCCAGGGCTCTGGCGACAACACTGGCGCCGGAAATGCCAGGCGGGAGAGCGAAGGGACAGCTGATTGTGATTTGCGGGAGAAACAAGCAGCTGCAGGCGACCCTGGAAGCCATGACGTGGCCCATGCCGACGCAGATCAAGGGTGTGGTTACCAACATTCCCGAAGTCATGGCAGCTTCAGATTGTGTCATCAGCAAGGTGTGTATAATTGATACACTGGAGCTGCAAATATGGTTCTTGCCCACTCTATTTGTTTTGCATCTCACTTGATCTGCTTCTTTCTAGCATTGTTCTCATCCTGTCACTCCCTCCCATGTCCCATCTTTTTTTGTGTCCCTGTACAGGCTGGACCTGGCACCATTGCTGAGTCAATGATCAAAGGCCTACCCATGATCTTGAATGGCTTCATTGCTGGCCAGGTCAGTGTACCTTCAAATCTCTCCCTTCAGCAGTGGCTTTTTAATCACATGTGTTTGCTGCTCTGTCCCTGTTTAGCTCCTTTTTTGTACTGCCTGCTCACCTTCTCTCTTTTCTGTTCCTTTGTTCCTTGTTACAGGAAGCTGGCAATGTTCCCTTCGTTGTCAAGAACGGGGCTGGGTTGTTCGAGGAGAATCCCCAAAAGATCGCTCACATAGTGGCCGACTGGTTTGGACCCAAGGTGGATCAATTCAAGCGGATGGCAACGAATGCTCACCGATTAGCCCGACCCGACGCGGTGTTCCGGATCGTTCGTGACCTCGACCAACTAGCAAACCGACCTCACACTCTTGATAACGTCACGTTTGCGTACTCTTGAACCACTGATGGTGGAGGTGTCTCCCTTGTGTTGGGGGACTTGCTGTAGAGAAGCCTTGCTTGGTTATCCAGTTTAGATGCGCCCATGCCATTCTAACCATAGAACGCCTCGGAGCTGAAGCTGCGAGGCTTTGTACGAAATTAGCAACCGCATGGTGGGGGAGTGTAGCATGGTGCTACCATAGGATCTCTGCCATGCTAGTGTATGTTTCCAGGATTTTTAATTGCATCTGATTCATTATATCCCCAACATGAAACACGCTAGTTGTTCCAATTACAATTGAAGGAAATAGCCTGGTCTGGTGAATTTCTCTCCTCACGGACTGGAGTCCTGGTGTGAGGAGCACCCCTCTACAGTTAGCTTTTGGATGTCCGGCCTGTGACGACTATCTTCCCAGGGTGCTGCTGAACTTCCATGGACCGAGGCAAACCAGCCTGGCATACCGTCGTTACATCATTCCAATTGGAAGGAAGCAGGGACGGTCATTAGCTACACATTCCCCCACCTTGACCAGTAGCGAAAGGGTCCAGCGACTAGATCAAACGGACAGTTGGATGTGTCGCACGGAAGTTCTTTGGCCAGCACTCATTTGTCCGTATGGTCGCTGTGACGTAGGGTTGGTTTGGATGGACGAATGGGAGGCATGTGTTCGAGTCTGACCCGCAGATCGGAGATTCGTGGAAGGCAGGTGAGGGAGATGGGTCGAGGTTGTGTGGGGTGGAATGGTCAGAAGAGTTGCGGCGGCGGCTTGAGGTGTGGGGTGGGGAGGGGAATCAGAAGATTCGATGCGGGCAAGTGTTGTCCGCTCAGTTTCCGTGAATCAGAGAATAGCCAGCATTCTGCAATTGAGCTTTCCGTGGCGCACTGTACAATTCAGCAAAGGCTGTCTGCTTACAAGGAGGGCTGTTAAAACTGATAGCACAACTAGCACAAACGCGAATAACACAACTGCAAGTCAGGGTCAAAGCAGGTTATCGTGAACAATTGGTTTGCAATTAGTTCCGAGCTAGGGCGTAGGTGGCGGAAGCAACGGTGGGTGCAGGTGGCTATGGATTGAGGAGTATGAGAATTGAAGGCAACTGGAGTTACAGATGAATGGACAACAAGCTCAACCAGGAATGGCAAAATGACAAGAATCGTTTTTTGCTCATATCAGTCTCAGAAGTCTCTGGCAGCTACCGTATTAGTCATGTGGACACGATGCTCACCAAGACTGGCTACACATGACACGGATTTATTCCACAAGGACACAATGGACAAATAAAAACAACAGTAGGGAGATATGCACGCTAAGGGTACGCACACGAACTGCAGCAAGCAAGCTACACATTCTTAGAGGCCACAATACTTTGAGTGAGGCCATCCCTTATTTGTGCGGAAATGTCACCCACATTTCCTGGCCCGTGTGGAATAAATATAGTGGAAGACTTGTTGTTGGCTCCTATGTCCCTCATTGTGTCGAAATATTGAGTCAGCATTACCTGGGGAAGTAGTGAAATGTGCAAAAGAGGGGAATAGAAGGCGATGCAGGAAAAATGAGATACAATGCGATGTAAGCAACAAAGGAACAAATCATACAAAGCCGATGGGGTAAAGGCAAAAGATGGACAGAATAGGAGAGATTGTACAATTGAAGGCATATCTCAGGGTCAATGCAAGTCAACCCCAGTGAATGCAATCGCTACCATGTCAAGCACGTCCTTAGCGGTGGTTCCAGGAACCACGTGTATAGAGGGTATTTTTGAGATGTCTCAAAAATACCTTCTATACACATGGCAACCCCAGTAACGCAACCGCTGCCCTGTATCTCACCATGTCAAGCACGTCCTTGGCGGTGGTTCCAGGAACCTGCGAGGAGAATCCCATCACGCTCTCCCGCAGCCCATCCACGATGGCCTGCCATGAATGTGCAGATGGTTGAGGGGAATGTGGTTTGAGGGGAATGCAACATTGTAAGTTGACTGAGTTGACTCGATGTCAACCATCACGCTCTTCCGCAGCACATCCACAATGGCCTGCCATGAATGTGCAGATGGTTGAGGGGAATGTGGTTTGAGGGGAATGCGACATTGTAAGTTGACTTTGAGTTGACTCGATGTCAACCATCTCGCTCTTCTGCAGCACATCCACAATGGCCTGCCATGAATGTGCAGATGGTTGAGGGGAATGTGGTTTGAGGGGAATGTGGTTTGAGGGGAATGCGACATTGTAAGTTGACTGAGTTGACTCGATGTCAACCATCACGCTCTTCTGCACCACATCCACAATGGCCTGCCATGAATGTGCTGATGGTTGAGGGGAATGTGGTTTGAGGGGAATGTGGAAAGGGGTTGAATAGTTGCCAAGGGGTGTAAGGAGCCTGCGAGGAGAATCCAATCACGCTCTCCTGCAGCCCATCCACGATGGCCTGCCACGAGTGCAGATGGGTGTCAGGGTTGAGTGGAAGGTCTAGAGTGGTTGAAAGGGTTATTAAGGGGTGACGAGCTGCCTTGTGAGTCGGCACAGAAGTCCATAGCCCATAATCAATGCAGGTCAGGGTTTACTGGAGTGTGTAAAATAGTTAAAAGGGGTGCAAAGGGATGAAGGGAATGTGTGATGGGATTAAAGTTGCGTAATGGCGAAGGGAGTGAGTGAAAGGCGAATTGATTGGCTGACCAGTAATAACTTACTGTACCTGTCTACCATCTATCCACTACCGTACCTGTCGCTGCCGAGCCACACCAACGCCAGCGAGGTACTTAGCCTCGGCATCTCCCTCCGCCTTCTTCACCTGCAGAATCTTCTCCGCCTCCGCCTTCTCCTGGGTCGCCTGCCGAATGCGCTGGGCTGCATGGGGAGTGGGAAAGAGAGGGGTGTGGGGAAAGAGAGGGATGGGGCAGAGAGAGGGGTGTGGGGAGAGAGAGTGAGAGGTGCATTCTTGACCTGCAGAATCTTCTCCGCCTCCACCTTCTCCTGTGTCGCCTGCCGAATGCGCTGGGCTATATGGGGAGAAGCGAGGGAGGAGAAGGGGAAAGGGGGAAGGGAGGGGGGGGGGAGAGGGGGAAGGGTGAGGAGGCACGTGACTCATGTTCATGGCTTGGCCTAACACGGGTTCACCTGTGTTGACTTACACTGACCTACATTCCTGCGTTGACTTCCATTGTTCGGTGTTGTCTCGCTGACCTGCATTGACTTTCATTGACCTGTGCTGATCTCGTTCATGGCGACCATCACTCGCCCGTCTGGCTCCACGTCCATTATCAGCGCCTGCATGATGGATAGTTACGGACCTGCATTGACTTCCATTGACCTGCGTTGACCTTCACTGACCTGCGTTGATCTCGTTCATGGCGACCTTGACTCGCTCATCCGGCTCCACGTCCACGATCAGCGTCTGCACAATGCGGTAGCCATAGTCGTGCATGGCCTGAGGCCATGGGGTATGTGGCATGGGGGGTACGAGGAAGAGGGTATGGGAGCCAGACACTGAGGGTGTTAGCACCACCATCAGCGTCTGCACGATGCGATATCCATAGTCGTGCATGGCCTGAGGCCATGGGGTATGTGAAATTGGGGTATGCGGCATGGGGGACGAGGAACGGGGTATCGAAGCCACACACCGAGGGTGTTAGCACCACTATCAGCGTCTGCACGATGCGGTGCATGGCCTGAGGTCATGGGGGCATTGGGAATATCAACAGACGGGCATCAAGCATGGGGATTGGGGCATGGGGGGATGGGGGCATGGGGGCATGTGGCATGTGGCATGGGGCAAGGGGCATGTGGATTGGGGCATGTGAAATTGGGGTATGCGGCATGGGGGACGAGGAACGGGGTATGGAAGCCACACACTTAGGGTGTTAGCACCACTATCAGCGTCTGCACGGTGCGGTAGCCATAGTCGTGCATGGCCTGAGGTCATGGGGGCATTGGGAATATTAACAGACGGGCATCAAGCATGGGGATTAGGGCATGGAGGTATGGAGCGTGGGGCATATAGCAGATGGCATGGGCATGGGGCATGGGGCATGGGGCAAAGGGCATGTGGCATGGGGCAAGGGGGATGTGGCTTGGGGCATGGGACAAAGGGCATGTGGTTTGGGGCATGGGGCAAGGCATGTGAAATTGGGGCCCGTGCACGTGGAACGTGGCATGTGGCATGTGGCATGGGGCATGGGGCAAGGGGCAAGGGGCAAGGGGCATGTTAAATTAGGGCCCGGGCACGTGGAACGTGGCATGGGGCAAAGGGCATGTAGAGTTGGGGTACGGGCACGTTGCATGTGGCATGTGGCATGGGACGTGGGGCGCGGGGAAGGAGTCGAACCTTTTCGAGTTCTGTTTCCACGTTCTGCGCGATCTCGTTCTTGGATATGAACACCTCGTCCAGGTCCATCTTGGGTACGCTGCTTCGCACGACTGTGCGGAGACGAACAGATAGGGCGGTGGCAGAAACGAATGGGGCAAAAGGTGGGGAGGGGAAGGAGGAGGGGGGGAGTAAGGGGACGGAAAGTTGGGATATGAACACCTCGTCCAGGACCATCTTGGGTACGCTGCTGCGCACGACTGCGCGGACAACAATTAAATTGGCGATGGCAAAATTAAAGGGCAAGATAAGGGGAGGGGAGGGAGGGGATTGAGGGGACGGAAAGATGGGAAATGAACGTGACCCCGTCTAGGTCCATCTTGGGTACGCTACTTCGCAGAACTGAGCGGACACCAATCGAATAGGGCGAAGGCGGGAAGGGAGAGAGGGGAAAGAAAAGACGGGGAAGCAGTGATGGGGAAGCGAGGGAATGAGGGAACAGGGAAATGCGCAGTGCGGGTGAAGCAGGGCACGAAGAGAAGACGCAGAGCCGGTTTGGCGCAAACTTGTTCTTTGGAGAAACAAAAAACTGACACTGCCGAGTTCATGATGCAGACGAAGGGAAAAAGAGAGAAGGAAAAAGAGAAGGAAACAAAGAGAAGGGAAAAAAGAGAAGGAAAAAAAGATAAGGAAAAAAAGAGAAAGCGGGAAGAGGAGGGGAGCGGGAAGAGGAGGGGGAAAGAGGGAGGGGTAGGTGGGGGAAAGCGGGGAAGGGGAATTAGGGAGAAGCAAGACAGGGGAAAATCCAAGGCGCAATGTTGTGCACGTACCGTCGAAGACGTAGGAGCGGATTTGCGCCTGCGGGTCGGCGAGGCGGTAGAACGCGTCTTCGACTTGCTCGCGGATGGCTTGATACTGAATAGACGCGACGACTGTCACGAAAACGTTGTCCTTCGTTTTAGTCTCGCAGCGCACGTCGAGTTGATTGATGCGAAGACTCATGAGCCCCGCGGTGCGGTAGCAGCAGCACCAGGGGACGCAATAGCAGCCCGGGTCGAGCGCGCGGACGAACCGCCCGAAATGCTCGACCATCGCGACCGTTGATTGGTCCACCTGGAGGCATCCGAGCATCTGATCCATGGTTGAGTTCGATTTGCGAGGGTAACTCCGGAAAGAGTCTTAATCTATTCGAAGAATGAGGCGCGGCGCGATTGGTCGTCGTAGAGAGGCAAGAACTTGGGTGGCGTGGAGTGGTCACGCGTGCGAGAATATCTTGGGAGGATAAAGAAAGAAAGAAATAAAGAAAGAAAGAAAGAAAGGAAGCAAAGTGCGTTTCCGTGCCGGACTCAGGTTCTTTAAATTTCAGAAAGCCGAGGAGAGTTCATGGGAGAAGAAGTTGGGATGAAGTGAGAAGAGCGAGGCGGGAAGTTTTTACGCGATGGGGAGTGCTGCTGGCGGTGCTCTCATGGAGCCACTTGCCTCGCTAGTGGTGGTTGGTGGAAGGGTTTGTCCAACGCGGATGACGACAGACGCGGAAAGAACACCTTAGGGCGCGTGTGGTCTGTTTAGAAGTTCAAAATTAAGTTCGAACTTTGTGTGGTTACCTTGTTCGCTAATTTCGCGAAGGGTGCTTCGCGAACCAAGCATTGTATGGGCTCTGCAAAAGTTCGAGTTTGAAATATGAACTTGACTCGAGTCGGAGGCGCGAACGTGCGTGCTCACGCTCATACGAGCGTGTGTGATTTGCAGCACGTCCGAAAAGCTGGCGAAACGGGCGAGCGCTTCGCCAGTGCATGAAGTTGCACAATGAAGACACCCCACAATTCGTGCACACAGTTGTAGCCACGTGTCCAGCATACAAGGTGTTGCCACGGGGGCTATTTGTACCCTGGTTACACACTCGGGAAAGTATATCCCAGCTCCATAGTTTCAAAAATATCTCAAATTTAGTCTTAATTCCACTAAAAAAGTACAGCTTTCTGGAAGTTTGCTCACGCGAGGCCCAGATTATGTTCAAAACTGGTCTTGCGAGGCATACTTTTCGACACGTGTCCTGTTTCTTATTAGCAATTTCTGACGGGGGCAAAAAACATAAAGCCCCTAGGGGAACCAGGACACACGTTCGGGAGGGACCAACCCTAAACACGGGGACCCGCTTGGTGTTTAGGGTTGATCCCTCCCGCAAATGTGCCCTAGGTCCCGAGGGGTTTTATTATTTTTTGCCCCGTCGAAATTTTTTCAAAGCGAAATTGGACACGTGTCGAAAACTTCGCCCCGGAGGACCAATTTCGAACATACTTTGGCCCTCGCGTGAGCGAAATTCTAGAAAGTAGTAATTTTTGAAGCGAAATTCTAAATTTGAGAGAAATCTGAAAGTATGGACCTGGAATATAGTTTCCCTACACACTCGGCGCGGAATGTGAGTTGGAGCTCTAGGTCCTTGTAAACCGAGGCGCAAAATGTTGACGTGGCGCACCGTCAAGACGAGCGAACCGGGTAACCTATTACACCTTCGAATTCCAAAAATCCGATCGACCGACCATTTTTCTACACTTGCAAGCACGTATTTGTCACTCTATCTCAAGTATAACTACTGCGTTAGAATATTTTTTTAATTCGTTGGTTTGTGGGTGGTAGATTCTGTCGCATTTTGCAGAGTAAAAATACGTGTATCAGTTGGTGCGATACACCTACAATGATTACGCGCTTCTGTTTAAACAAGGCGACGAGCAGAAACAGAGGTTGCATGGGAGATTATAAAAAGGTCACAATTCTGCCCGTTATATTGCGCTTGGAGACAGGAGAGTTACAAATAGTCACAGTGCTATCACGGATGATCACTCCCCCCCCCCCCCCCCACCCGAAAAGCTATCACGTTTGGTCACTCGATGAATGGATCACAATTAAATTGAAACAACGAAAGAAACAGTAGCAATTTTGGGGAATCCCAACCTTGATTGTTTGTTACCTCGCGCATTATTCTAGCCCTGACATTTAGGGAACTGAAGAAAAAAAATAAACCCCTATAGGATGGCACGTCCTTCGGGAGGCATCAACCCTAAACACTATGCGACAAGGTGTTTAGGGTTGATGCTTCCGAATCATATCCCATCCGAATGGATTTTAGTTCTGTATTGGGAACAAATTTTAATCTTAGTGTTTCACCCGTCGGAAAGTGATATTCTTAGGGACATTATGCATCGATCGAACAGTGGACATTCGATAGTAAAGAAGAAATTGCAGATTTTTTTAACGAGTTACCGAGATCTGTCGCGAAACTTTTACGTGATACTACGGACAAAACGGTGCGCGCGATAAATTATTCCCTGAATCTCTGCAGTGACTTGAGTAGTTACAGTTCTCGATTGGGCGTTTCATCTGTGACCAAACGTGATAGACTTGCGGGGCAGGGTGTGACTATCCGTGATAGCACTGTGATCAACACGATAGTTACGAGGTGTACTGTGACTGTTCATGATACCCCCGTGATAAATCGGGCCTAACTGTGACTAAGCATATAACTACTCGAGATGGCATTGACTGCGGAAGGACCAAAATCGCAATATCTGAACCACTACCTACACGACACCGGCGTATTTACTGTGCAGACATACACCACGACAAAATTATATCATGCGGGAAGTTACAGAGCACAAGCCACACCATTCTCGAGAAAGTTACGTACCTTTAGTAACACACCCACTTCCAACCACGAAAATGTAAACCATACCGCGAAAAAAATTGTAGGATCGATAGGATTTTTGGAATTCAAAATAGTGCTGACGTGGTGCACGAGTGGTCGACAGGATTGACACAAATCCGAAAACCGTCGAGTCGCGTGATTTTTCTGGGTGAACGATTGGTTCCTCCTGGGTTGGGAGGATCAAGAACCGATGGGACGTAACGCTGTGATTGGAGGATGTTCCAATCGAGCCGCGCCAATTTCAAGACGCAATGTTGCATTTCCCAGGGAGCGACGTCCCCATGTTCCTCAATTGCTCACAAATGTCGTGCGCACGCAAGGCACGGCGACGCGACGTCCCCCCGACCCAGGTTCTTGGCGAAGGGGGTGTCCCACGCAAACCAGTCCCGCGTGCTTCCAGCTAATTGGCCATAGGCCTTTGCTGAGGCTGGCTGAAATCGCTGATTTGGCAACTCATTCACGCAAAATCTGGAAGACGTCATAGTACGATTTCGATATGAGTGAACACGCACATCATAATCAATCACAAGACTTGGAAACCCATACATGTCAAGTTTTGGGAAGTGCGCAAAAGGAACCATCAACATGAAAACAAAATCAGGGATCTACAACGCTGATTCATTTAAGCACACTCTGGCGAGACACAAATCCATCCAAAGTGGCATTACGGTCTGCCTTTCCCTTTCCAGGGCCACCCAAAAACTTTCTCTCCGATTTAGAACGCTTTGTTTGCATTGTCTGAGTGTGCTTGCCCTCGGCACTTGCCATCTCCCTCTTCAAAGGGCGGTCTAATTTTGAGCTCTTGGCCACCCCGTTTTCCTCTGCTTCCAGCCTCAAAGCAAAGTGATAGTCACGATGCTCCTCCACCCCTTCGGCCTGAACCAGCTTCCCACATTCCTCGCACCTCCACATATTATTGCATGCAATGCCATTCGGCGTCCACGTGTCACACGCGGTCGCACACGCAGCGTCATAAACGGTTGCACGTTCCGCACCAAGGTCCAAATCTGCAGGCTGATACGACATCCCCCCTCCACCCTCGTTGACAGCCATCCAGCCTTGAACCACTTCTGCAACACACCCACCATTATGCATCACCTGAGCATAGTTATCCTCATCAGCATCCCTCACCTTCCCTCCCTCTCCATCCCTCACTCTCTCCTCCACTTCAACAATATCAGCCTTCGCCACCCCTCCCTGCGTCACCAGTTCCTCCTCTTCTCCCATCTTCCTAGAACCCACTCGAGGCCCCAGCCACCGATCCAAGTACCCACTCCCAGCCTTCCTCAGTGGGAGCACCTGCGAGCATCTCTTCTCAGCACCGAGTACCACATTCTTCCCTTTCATCTCATCTTCCTCCTCTCTCCCATCTCTCTGCTCCCTTTCCCGCTGTACAAAATACCCTGCGCCCACTCCTCGCGGCTTCACCCACCGATCCATACTCCCAGCAGCAGCAGCATCCCTCCGCAGTGGCAGAGCCTGAGGGCAACCACTCACTCCACGTGCTATCACATCCCTCCCTCTCATCTCATCTTCCTCTCCTCTCCCATTTCCCTGCTTGCTTTCCCGTAAACCTCCTCCTTGTGGCTTCACATACCGATCCACCCACCAATCCATACTCCGATCCATACTCCGATCCATACTCCCAGCAGGAACCCTCTCTGGTGGCAGCACCTGCGAGCACCAACTTTCTCCACGTTCTATCACATCCCTCCCTCTCATCTCATCTTCCTCCCATCTCCCAACTCTCTGCTCCCTTCCTCCCTGTACCGTCTGCCCCTCCGCACCAGCACTCCCAGTGTCGGTTCTGTGTGGCTTGATGCCTTGTTGCAGACCCCCAGAACCAGCATTCCCAGTGTCTGTACTGTGTGATTTCAGCCACCGCTGCAGGCCCCCAGCATTGAATCTTCCCGTGTCTGTTCTGTGTGTTTCAAGACACTGCTGCAGGTCCCCTCCACCAGCATTCCCAATGTCTGTACTGTGTGATTTCTTCAGCCACCGCTGCAGGCCCCCAGCAGCAGCAGCACTCCCTGGCTGCCCACACTCGGGCTGCTGGGGGGAGGAGGAGAGGAAATTCGTGGCACCCACGTTGATCACCAGCACTGGGAGGACCTGAAATGCGGAATCACGAGCATCACAACTGGCAGCAGCAGTAGAGCTGGCCACTGCTGGAAGAGAAGGTAACTCAGAAGCTTCTGTTCTACTGCTGCTACAAGTGGCAGCTGCAGCTGAAGGAGAAGTGAAGGCACGGGAGAGAAGGGAGGAGGCGAGGCGGAGGAGAGAGGAAACGCGGAGGGCGGGAGGGGTGGAGGGAGAGAGGGCTTGGGAAGGCATGGGGCACGAGGCAGAGGTGAACCTGGAGGGCGAATGGTGGTGATGAGGGGGTAAAAGACGTGGGACGAGGGGAACGGGGAAAACGTTTGCACAGGCAAGGGGCACGAGGCAGATGTGAACGTACCGTGTGGAGGGCAGACAAGATAGAGAGATCAGTGACAACAAGAGAAGGTATTTTTGAGACGTCTCAAAAACACGATGTCTCCAAAGCACACTCGTTTTACAAAATAGAGAGATCGGGAGACAAAAAGAGAGGGCGTTTTTTTTTTTTTTTTTTTTTTTTTCCCTCTCATCCTTACCACCTTCTCATTCTTCATTAGAACTCATATACCCCTTCACCCTACAGCCCCCTCACCGGTACTCCTTCTCTCTCTTCCTCCATTTGACAGTGAACGTCTTTGGTCGTCTCCTTGTCTCCTCCCACTCCTCGTCTATGCGAGTGAGCAGGTCAGGTAGCAGGCTGTGCACGATAGGCTGGTGCGTACAGAGGCAGAGGGGACAGGAAAAAGAAATATCGGCATTTCATTATGTGCTGGTGTGTACACAGCGAGCAGGTCAGGCAGCAGGCTTTGCACGATGGGCCGGGGGTTAGAGAGGCAAACGGGTGAGGAGAAGGACGTTGGCGGTCTGAATTTTCTTTTTTTCTAGACATCCACTCTACAGACCTTGGCCTGTGCGAGGGAGTGGATGGAAGGGAAGGAATTCTCTACAATCACTCTCTTGGCTGGGTCCTTGCATGCCACTAGAGGTGTTGGTTCAGGAATACCTGCCACCTGCGTAAATCTAAGCACACGTGACACGCCTGTGTAACTCCAAGCACAGATCTACGCACCTTGGCCTGTGCGAGGGAGTGGATGGGCGGGAACGAGTCTTCCACAGACACACTCTTTGCTGGTCCCTTGCATGTCACTGAAGATGGTCTCGCTCAGGCCTGCCTGTTACCCTGTTACCTACATACATTGAACTTTAAGAGTCGAAATACAAATGGCGCACCTTAGCCTGTGCAAGGGAGTGGATGGGCGGGAACGAGTCTTCCACAGACACACTCTTGGCTGGTCCCTTGCATGTCACCGGTGTGGGGTCGTAGGCTCGGCACGCACCAAAGAGGAATGGCGCCAGCTTCGGGCCGAGCCTGGCAGTGGAGAGCGAAAAGGACACTCACACACATCCCCGTGAAATCACGCTCCCACACACGCATACAACCACACACACACACACACACACAAGCTTACCCACGTGCATGCACACCCATAAAACCACACAGGAATTAGTGAAATGTCTATCTAAAAAGCGTGTCAACCTAAGGTGTCCACCTAGGAAGCCGATCTAATCCACCAACTCAACCAGTCAATCTCGCCTACCAATCTCGCCCACCAATCTCGCCTACCAATCTCGCCTACCAATCTAGCCTACCAATCTAGCCTACCAATCTAGCCTACCAATCTCGCCTACCAATCTCGCCTACCAATCTCGCACACACAGACAAGGCTGGCTTACCACATCTGCAGATCTTGAAGGGTGAAGGCGAGAAGACCCTTCATTACAGTAACACCCCTCGAGGCAAGCTGCTCCTCCAATCGCCTGCCGACACCTGGTACCTTCCGGACGGGCAGATTGGAGATGAAATCCACGGCTGCGGACGCGACAAGTGTCGTCTGGTCATTGGGCTTGTGGCGGGAGCTCACAAGCTTGGCTAGCATTTTCTGGGAAGCAGGGTTGGAAAAAGAAAGATAGGAGAAAAAGGAAGGGATGTCGTGAGAAGAATAAAGGAATGAAAGACCGATGGCACGGAAAACCAGAGGCATTTAAAACACGCACTCACATTACGCGACACCCCACATGACATCTGGTACCCCGTCACCTCCTCCAGCGCTGGCCCAGGCGTAATTTGAGCCGACTCGAAATATGCCACTCACATTATGCGACAACGCGCTCACATTACAAGACAGCGGCAGGCACGCGACTCCCACAATGAGACACGCCAAATGACATCTGGTACCCCGTCTCACAAGAATGCAGGTAGTTACGCCCCCCACATCAAATGGCTGCTGCCAGGTGGCACTACCCCAGCAACCCACGTCACTCACATTGTGTGACACGCCACATGACATCTGGTACCCGGTCTCCTCCTCCACTGCTCGCCTTGCCTCGCCGGCCAGCCAACTGCCTGCTGCCAAGTGGCACTCTCCTGGCCCCAGAAACAGACAACGATCATCATGATCATTCTCCTCACTTCCTCGTCCGCCTTCCCTATCAATCTCACTTGCCCCTCCTCCTTTTCCTCCTCCTGTTGCTGCACCCCTCTCCACATGCCCAAGGAAGCCTTCCTTGAAGCTTCCTGCTGCCACCATGGCGGCCACTTGAGGTGAAAGGTCCACAAACGCCTCGTCCAATCCGAGCCTGCCACGCGGGCGGGGGTTATCATAAGACCACATGATGCATGAGACGGGGGAGGGGGTGGGGGAGAAGGGAGGAGAGCGCGGGAGTGAAGGACGGGGCGAGTAGGTGGAGGGGAATAGAGGAACTGGGGGGAGAAGCAAGAAGGGCCTGAACGTGGTGACTTTTGAGTCGACTCATGAGGTGACTTTTGAGTCGACTCATGAGGTGACTTTTGAGTCGACTCATGAGAGTCGACTCAAAAGGGGAATAGAGGAACTGGGGGGGGAAGCAAGAAGGGCCTGAACGCGACAGTAAAATAAGGAGAAGAATCCTATCCTCCTCGGGAACATAATCGTGGGAATAACATGAAGAGAAAACGTGAGCACCTTTCGAGGGTTCCGAACCGAGCAAGGACAAAGAAGATCCTCTTGCTGGCTTGCCTGTAGGGCGTGAGGTCCTCCCCATTGACCAGCACGATTTCTGGACACCTGCGTAGAACAGGGGCCAGGGGACATGAAACGCGTGGTTAGTTTAGCACACACAACCACCAGTACGGCTGCTCTGAAGGGTGTGAGATCCTCCCCTTTGGCCAGCACAATTCTGGACACCTGGCTAAAGCAGGGTCCAGGGGAGGGGACATCACACGTGTGGTTAGCTCATAAACACACAACCACCTGTACGTCTACATGCCCAAGCACCTAATATAAACTCAGCACAATAATTCTGCTTTGATTCAACTGACAAAATCTCTTTAGAAAGATCTATTCAATAATCACCTGCGCTCACTGTACCCATCATCCCTGCACTGTACACACCTTGCCTGAACATGAAGGTCTACATCATCACAGCCTTCTCCCCTAGGCTGTACTTGCCTCCCCTTGCTTGCCTGGTTCGAGCATCATCAATTGAGGCCATCTTGGGGACTCCTCGACCTCGAGCGGCATAATTGGCAGTCACCACCAGGAATTTCTGCCATGAAGGAAAAAAAAAAAAAAAAAAAAAAAAAAAAAAAAAAAAAAAAAAAACGGTTTTGTAGTGCAAAAAAACTTTGGCGCGTGCACAAGGCCGCTCTGCTTCAAACCAAGCTCCCTATTGGAACCTCCAATCAAAACGCAGACTGTGAAAGAATAACACTGGCTTTGAGGGGGGGAATCAACAGTCTTGAATCTCACCTGCGTGACGCCTAGAGGCGAGTTTTGAGTCGACTCAAAAGTCACATCGATTGTGAAAAAATGCCACTGGTTTTGAGGGGAAAAATCAATAGTCCTGACGCTCACCTGCGTGACGCCTAGAGGCCTGTCCTTCAGCTCGGGCCGTCTCTGCTGCTCCACCTGTGCATAGAAACAGTCAAGGTCCTGCCACGGCGAGCGACGGATCAAGAAGAGAGCCGAAAGCGAGTTGAGCAAGTCTCGAAAACTGAGCAGGATGAGCTATCTCAACACATGCGCTACGACGCGGTCCCATAGCTGAAAAATTTCCTGATTCTAATCGACTTCTACTATTTTTGGCTGCAGGATACGGCTTTGATCTACTGAGAAAAATCGTTCTTACGAAGTGCGCTATGACGCGCTCCCATTGCTGAAACACGGATACCTCCATCCGCGTCAACATAAGCGAAGGAAGGGCCGAGTGAGGAAAAACGACATCGAAGCGTTTCAAGTTGCAGCAACAGGGCTAGAACGCTGGGACGAGCAAACAGAGAAATTACTGAGCGGAAATGGCGGGATGCCAGAAGCATTCTAGGTTTTCGATTGGCGTCAATCAGACGCTTCCTACCTACTACACTGAGGGTGGACAGAGAAATTTTTACATGTTATATGGTAGAATTGAGTAGAAATGCAAAGCTCTGTTTCAGAAGTTATATTGATGCATTTAAGAGGAAAACTATATTTTAGCATTTCATTCCGTCCTATATAATTGTAAGGAATTTTCTCGGCATTCCTTACGGGGCCGACTACATCGCGTACAGCAACAGCCGATTGTTCGCCCGTTACTGCTAACGGAACTTCGCCGACTTCGCGCGCACTGTTTTGTCAAACCTCGCACTTCTGGCATGGCCGTATCGGCCTACGCTTCGGGACTAGCCCGAGCCTCGCTCCAGCGTAGCACTAGCAAGCTCGCACGCACCGCGTTACCGTTTTGCATGTTTCGCGTATAAATGTTCGCTCATGCCTTCGCTCACATTTTGTACTCGTTTGACACCTTAGTGCAATTCTCGCTACTTCGATTCATTGCACCCGTAACACTTGGTTATCAGAGCCCCTTTCTTTCGGACCGCGCATCTCCGCACACCAGGAAATCAACTTTTGATTTTTCACTCGAAGGGACTCACGCACCTTAGCCCCTAGGAGCCGCTGTCCTCGCGTTCTCTCGTAAACGCGTGCAGCCACGACTGCGCCTAGACTAAGACGAGCCGACGCCCTTCGTCATGGCTGAAAATATCGACGTCACCACCCTCACGCAGGAGCGTCTGAACGATCTGCTGCGACAGCTGCACGAAAGCTCCGAGGAAATCGCGGCATTAACGGCAGAACGCTCATCGCTGCAAAATGACCTCATGAGGGCACAACAAGCACAATCTCAAGCACCTGGCACTCCGATTCAACCTGCACCCTCAACATCACAACACGGGAGTGTGGGGCAACCCGCGAGCGCGGCCAGTGATGGCGTCGTCCGCCCCGACGGAGACGACGACCACGGCACGACACACCCCAGAGCGACGCATGCGGCCCCAAGTCAGCCTCGCGTCACGATTTCGGCACCAACCCACGATTCGGGACTGCCGTCACCGATGCCGCTGAAGCCGCAGCGCCCGCCATGCTTTGACCCGAGTCAACGGGGTGGTCCTACCATTCAGGCGTGGTTGTTCACAATGAATGTCTTCTTCGACGCCAACTACGTCTCGGAGGACTCGGCGAAGATTCGATACGCCGTGTCGTTGCTGCGAGGACCCGCCATGGACTGGTGGCGCGTCATCGTCACGAAGCCGACAGACTACGCGACACTACCGACACGGGAAGGACAAACCGGACCCTGGGCGCCGTCGTATTTCGTGGAGTGCCCCAGTATCGCACGTGGGACGCGTGGTGCGCAGGTCTGCGCGCTCGATTTGAGCCAATCGCGGCCTCGATCTCGGCGCGACAGAAGCTCCGCACTTGGCGCCAACTCGGTTCCGTCCAGGATTACACGAGCGGATTTCTGGCGCTATGCGAGCAGGTGGGCTACATGCATGAGAGCGAACGCATCGACCGCTACATCGGCGGCCTGAAGCAGGACATCGCTCAGGAAATCCAGCTTCGCGGCGTCACTGAGTTTCAGGAAATTCTCGCTATGGCGGAGAAGCTCGACTTCTTTCGCCGACCGAGACCGGGGTCCTACGGAAACAACAACTGGGGACATCGGCCTCGTGGGACGAACGAAAGCGCCACGATACGCGCCGTCGCCGCAAATGCCGCTGCCGCACCGTTCAAAGGGCGCTGCTTTGCGTGCAATCGGCCGGGACATCGCAAGAGCGAATGCCCGGAGAACGCTAAGGGAAAGGGGGAAGCTGAGCAGCAGACACAGACCAAGCAGCAGGGAAACGCTGGAAGTCAGTAGCAGACGGGCCCTCTACTGACAGGTCACGCCGCTCGCCCGACCCAACCGACCCTCACCGAGTGATTGTGCCGGTTCACGCAATCGACCACACCCGGCCGAATAAGGAGGGTACCACGGTAGACAGCCCTATACTGCTCAGTGGGAAAATTGGGACGGACTTAGTTAAAATCTTCGTAGACGGGGGAGCCAGCCACAGCCTCATTAACACTGCTACAGTGCGGAAACTGCGACTGCCACTGGACAGATGCTTACCTGAGATCGACGCACGACTGGTAGACGGCACGCCGCTGGCAATACGGGAACGCGTAGACCGAGTTCGGATTCGATGCGGGGGTAACTTCACGTTTAGCCAGGAAATGCTCGCAACGACCCTCGACGGAACCGACATCTTACTCGGGCGTGATTGGCTGCGACGACACAATCCGCGAATTGACTGGACGACGGGTGACTGCACCGTGCGAGTGAACGGTAACAACATCGCCTTACCTCGCTGGGGCTCGCCTGGGTCTTCGTCGGTGCGTGTCAATGCGATCACGATGAAACGCGCTGTAGCGGCCGGAGCTGACGTGTACGCGGTTGACATTCGGGAAGCCGAGGCAGCAGACAAGGGAGGGGACTTACAGAAACTGCTGACCGACGTACCGAGTGATCTGGCAGCGCTGTTAAAACAGTACATTGACATTTTCCCGGACGACCTGCCGACGGGACTGCCACCTCAGCGACCGCACGATCACAGGATAGAACTGGAACCGGGGGCACAGCCAACAGTACAGCGACAGTTCCGACTGACCCAACCCGAACTAGACGAACTGAGGAAGCAGCTCGATTACCTGCTCGAAAAGGAATTCATTCGCCCTAGTTCGTCGCCCTTCGCCGCACCAATACTGTTCACACCGAAAAAGGACGGGGGGTTTCGCATGTGTATCGACTACAGGGCACTGAACAGGGTTACCATCAAATCCCGTTACCCCATCCCACGAGCCGACGAACTGATCGACCAACTGCGCACAGCCCGGGTTTTCTCGAAAATTGACCTCCGGGGAGGCTACCACCAAATCCGCGTTAATCCACCCGACTGCCCTAAAACCGCATTCCGAACACGCTACGGATCTTTCGAATACACCGTCATGCCATTCGGATTGACCAACGCCCCCGCCACCTTCCAAATGACCATGAACGAAGCATTCCGCCCGCTTTTAGATAAGTGCGTCATCGTTTATCTGGACGACATACTGATTTACAGCCCTGACAGAGCACAGCACTTACACGACATCGAGGCAGTTTTTAAAATCCTAAGTGAGAACCGCCTACTGACCAAAGCATCTAAGTGTGAGTTTTTACAGGACCGCCTGGAGTTTTTGGGACATGTTATTTCAGCTGCGGGAGTGGAAATCGACCCGAAGAAAATTGCGACGATTCAGGCGTGGCACGCGCCGACCAACCTGACCGAGTTGCAGAGTTTTCTGGGGTTTGTCAACTACGTGCGTCGGTTCGTCCCCGACATGGCGAAGCTGACTGCCCCGTTGACCGACCTGCTGAGGAAGGGGGTTGAGTACACGTGGGGGGAGAAAGAGCAAGCTGCCTTCTCGGCCCTCAAAAATATTTTGTGCTCCCCGCCCGTCCTTCACATTGCAGATCCCCACCGTCCGTTCGAGCTCGTCACCGACGCAAGTGACATCGCTGTGGGAGCAGTACTGTTGCAGGACTTCGGGAACGGCCTCCAGCCAATCGCGTACGAGTCCCGCAAGCTACACCCGCCCGAACGCAACTACCCGATACACGACCGTGAAATGCTGGCGATCGTGCACGCGTTCAAAGTTTGGCGGTGTTACCTGACTGGCGCCGACGTGACAGTACGGACAGACCACCGTTCACTATAGTACCTTCGCGCCCAACCGAATCTCAACCCACGACAGATTCGCTGGTTGGACTATCTTGAGTCCAATTTTCACTACACCGTCACGTACAAAAAAGGAGCATCCAACATCGCCGACGCTCTCACCCGCCCCACCGCCCAACTCCACGCCATCCTACTCGCCCAGACCAACCCACTTTTAACTGGCCTATTCACCCACGGATACCGCACCGACCCATTTTTCACGACCGGAAATTCACAGCAACTGGCAGAAGCAAAAGGAGTCTATTACGTAAAAACAGGCACCAACCGCATTTGGGTACCCGCGTACTCACTACTGAGGGAGCTGCTACTGCAGGAGGCACACGACGGGATTACCTCGGAACATTTCGGGGTAGAAAAATCACGACAGCAACTGCAGCGGTACTATTACTGGCCGGAGCTGTTGACCGACGTACAGCAGCACGTGGGCTCGTGTCCTACGTGTCAGGTGATGAAGAGTTCAAGGAAGCGGAAGGCGGGTCAATTGCAGCCGATCCCACCGCCCGAACGCGCCTGGCAGCAAGTAACCATGGACTTCGTCACAGGGTTACCTTCGAACCCTGGGGGTAACGACGCGGTGATGGTCGTCGTGGATAGGCTGACGAAGATGGCACACTTCGCTGCGTGCAAAAAGTCGATCTCAGCCGAGGAGACCGCTCGCCTGTTCGTCGCAGCCGTTGTTCGCCTGCACGGGATACCAGCAGCAATTATCAGCGACAGGGACACGAAGTTTACCAGCAACTTCTGGAAGAACCTCTGGGAGCAGTTCGGGACCAGGCTACAGTTCAGTTCGTCGTACCACCCCGAGACCGACGGCCAAACGGAACGGACGAATCAGACGATGGAGCAGTTGATTCGTGCCACGTGTGACGACCCCACGACCTGGGAGCAGCAGCTGCCGCTGATCGAGTTCGCGTACAACAACGCCACATCAGCCACGACGCAGCAGTCCCCGTTCTACCTGAACTATGGGCAAAACCCCACAGTGCCCATGACGCCGAGTCCGGACAACCCAACGCCACGTGCACAACAATTCGCCGAAATCCTGCAAGCTGCCCGCGCCAGAGCCGCCGAAGCAATAAAAAAGGCCAACGTCATCGCTAAGCGCAACGCTGATCGCCACCGCCGTCCTGTCACGTACCAATCTGGAGATTACGTGCTGCTTGACGTACCAAAATTACGACCGCGCTACTGTGGACCATTCCAAATCAGTCACATGATCACACCCGTCACCGCGCACCTACTGTTGCCAACCGACTGGTACATCAGCCCTTCGTTCCACGTCAGCCTACTTCGCCCATACATCCCGACCACAAGTCAACTGCCGCGTCACCGGCCACAATCAATGACTCACCCTGCATCAGAGCCGATCATCGAGCCCGACAAAATTATGAGCCATCGGATCCGCCACCCCACGGGAATCAGGAGGATTGAATTCCTCGTTCGCTGGAAAGACCGCACGCCAACTGAAGATAGCTGGGTGCCCCTGAGCAACATCGAAAATCACCCTGCCCTGCAAGTGTACCTGAGGAGCCGGGGATTCCGCGATATACACGCACTCGCGTAGCGGAGGGGGCTTCTTAAGGGGGGGGGTAGTGTAAGGAATTTTCTCGGCATTCCTTACGGGGCCGACTACATCGCGTACAGCAACAGCCGATTGTTCGCCCGTTACTGCTAACGGAACTTCGCCGACTTCGCGCGCACTGTTTTGTCAAACCTCGCACTGCTGGCATGGCCGTATCGGCCTACGCTTCGGGACTAGCCCGAGCCTCGCTCCAGCGTAGCACTAGCAAGCTCGCACGCACCGCGTTACCGTTTTGCATGTTTCGCGTATAAATGTTCGCTCATGCCTTCGCTCACATTTTGTACTCGCTTGACACCTTAGTGCAATTCTCGCTACTTCGATTCATTGCACCCGTAACAATAATTTAACAGCATATGTAGAGTTGTAAGCTTCATTAGTAGTTGTTTCAGGTGCTTGCTGGTTTGCAGAGCGGTAGGAAAGTTTTCACCTGGTCTGCTCCAAACCCACCATACCGGCCAGTGATCCAGCCTCGGCAGAAGATCTGAAGCACAAACAGTAAATATGTCATGCACGGACTGAACCAAACCTTAGCCGAGTCTCTGAGAAGAGGTTCAGGTTTTTGAGGTGCTGCTGACCATTGGTGTTTTCGCGCCATTTCTCCGCTTCCGTACAGCCGGAGAACATATGGGGGCAGAGGAGGGGAATTTAGTCTGGCAAACACACTTGCTGGTTTGCGCCATTTTTGCGCCCAGCTAGCTTCCATAGGTTTTCGTGCATTCAAATCGAAGCTCCAGTTGGGTTGGGAGTGGCTCCTCTGGTTCATCAGCTGCTCCTACTCTGATCCACGTTCACTTGCTGCTGACCTCGGCGGATCGTCAATTGTCGCCTCCTTCGATCTTTTCAGATCCTCCGGTAGTGACTCGTCGCAAGCGCTCTGTTGCTAACATCGGTTCCTGATCCTTTCTGGTCCTCCGCTAGTGAATGCACGTGTATAGCTCTGTAGGGATAGGGATACTTTCACTACTAACATCTTTCACTACTAACATCGGGTGGCGCGATGCTTCCGTTTCAAAGTGGCGCGACGGCGTCGAGCGGATCAGGTCTCGGCGATCTCACGCCGCGCCACCGGCCGCTGTTCATCCGCACGCGGCAACGGCAAACTCCGCGCGGATCCGACGGTCGATATGATCCAACAGCTCACCAGCACAATCCCAACCGTACACTGGCCTCCGCTAGCACAACCGCGTTCCAACAGCACTCAAACCAACCGCATGCGCCGCCGCAGCACACGGCGTTTCAAACGCAGCAGACCCAAGCGTTCATCCAACCAGCGCAGTACCAACCACAGCAGCAGCAGCAACACCAGTGGTCGTGGCAGCAGCACCCCCAGTACCAACAGCATCAGCAGTCGCGCCAGCCCCAGCAGCAGCTCCTGCAACCGCAGCAGCAACCGCAGTCACGTCAGAAGCAGCAGCAGCAGCAGCAGCAGCAGCAGCAAGGCGACGGGGTGTTTAGGTTCAGCGCGGGGGGGCACCAGCAGGGGAATATGGGACTCGGGCCGGCCAAGTCAACGCTGTGGTCGTGGAGCAAGGCCATGTGGAGCGATCCCATGCAATGGCCGCGTACGTACCTTTTCCCCTGCCAAGTGCTGTACATAAATACTCAGGGCTCATCTGTTGCACATTTGATGAATTGCCGTCCTGTCGCTTCCGCGTGCTCGTCCCGCCAAGTCGACGCTGTGGTCGTGGAGCAAGGCCATGTGGAGCGATCCCATGCAATGGCCGCGTACGTACCGCCTGCCACTCGCTTGCTGATCCATTCTGAGTGTGCATTACGAGATGGTATAGCACCGCCCTGTCGTTGCCGTGTTCTCCTCCCGCCAATTCGACGCTGTGGTCGTGGAGCAAAGCCATGAGGAGCGATCCCAAGCAATGGCCGCGCACGTACCTCTGATTATTAAGAATGGATTTGCGTGGGTTCTAAGTCGGCTCAAACCCCACCCTCACCCGTCCCCCTACGTCCCTCTCCCCCTCTTCCCCTTCCCCACCGTTCCCCGCGGTGTCTCAGATGTGTACGAGGGGTGTCAGGACCGCATTGGCGAGGACCCTCGCGCCATGCCTCCTCGCAATGACCTGCACACGTGCACTCTGGTAACCTCCGTGCACACCACACGTGCACTCTGGTAACCACACGTGCACTCTGGTAACATCCGTGCACTCTGGTAACCTCCGTGCACGCTGGTAACCTCCGTGCACTCTGGTAACCTCTGTGCACTCTGGTAACCATAATGCAATTTCTGGTGACCACAGTGTACTCCTTGGTCACGAAAATGTACGTCTTGAAAACCACGTTCTACCTTCAGGAACCGCCATGTATCCTCAATATCCGCCATGCCCTTTTTGGTAACCACCCTTCCCGTCTTACTCAAACCCCCCTACATTGTGTCTGTCCTATGCTACTCTCAATGGCAGGTGCCCCGCATAGGCAAGCGCAAGACGGTGACTGTGGCAACGACAGTGAAGAAGGGCGACTGCCTGTGGGGCATCAGCCGACAGCTGACTGGCACGGGGACCAACTGGAAAGGTGAGAGCTGTGTGGAAGGAGGTCAAACGGAAGGATTCGGTCTGAGAAAGACAGCTTGTGGGGCATCAGCCGACAGCTGACTGGCACGGGGACCAACTGGAAAGGTGAGAGCTGTGTGGAAGGAGGTCAAACGGAAGGATTCGGTCTGATAAAGACAGCTTGTGGGGCATCAGCCGACAGCTGACTGGCACGGGGACCAACTGGAAAGGTGAGAGCTGCGTGGAAGGAGGTCAAACGGAAGGATTCGGTCTGAGAAAGACAGCTTGTGGGGCATCAGCCGACAGCTGACTGGCACGGGGACCAACTGGAAAGGTGAGAGCTGTGTGGAAGGAGGTCAAACGGAAGGATTCGGTCTGAGAAAGACAGCTTGTGGGGCATCAGCCGACAGCTGACTGGCACGGACACCGGGGTGACTTTTGAGTCGACTCTAAAGTCACAGCCTGTGGGGCATCAGCGGACAGCTGGCTGCACGGGCACCAACTGGAAAGGCGGGTAGGGTGTGGAGAGGTCAACGAGAAGGTTGTTCCAATGTGATTTGAAAAAGGGTAGACTGCCTGTGGGGCAGCAGCTGACAACTGACAGGCACGGGCACCAACTGGAAGGGTGCGTAGGCTGTAAGGAGGTCAAGGGGAAGGGTACGGTGTGAGGCAGGGGAGGAGTGTAAGGGCACAGTTGAAGGCATGCTATGGGCTTGCCAGATTGGCTAGTAACTCTTTTTACGTGAGCTTCCCCTTTTTCTGGTGTCCTTTGTGGCCAGCTTTTCGGCTGCTTCTCAATCTGTCCCTTCTCTCACTCCCGTGATCCACCTTCCTCCCCTCCTTCCCACATCATCCTTCTCCGACACCTCCTCTCCGCGCCAGACATTGTGAACGAGAATCGGCATTATTTCAAAAAGGCTAAATTCGACACTCCCATTGACGACGACCTTTTCATCATCCAGCCAGGCTGGAAGCTCAAAATGCCAGTCACTGCCCCGCCTCCTCCTGAAGACTGACTAACATGCTCCTCCTCCTGACTCACTTCAGACTGCATTTGGTGATGATAACCACTGGGATGTGTGTCTTAGGCTGCTTATGCCAACTGCAAATTGGCATTGGTAGTGACAATATTAGTGTGACCTTGAGCTGGCCTGAGATTTGGCTGGCAGTTGTTTTGGGACCATGGCTTACAGACTGAGGACTAAAATTGCCTTCTGCCTACTCTATATGGTGATGTACATTTTGCTAGTAGCACTTAGTAATTACGGATTGATTGTGTAATGAACTACAATTCATTACTGTAGAGGCTGCTCCTAGCGAGGACAGCCCCAAACACTGCGCGTCAATTTCAGGTTCGGCCTACAATTTGGCCCAAACCACTTTCGAGTCGCCCATCACCAATCGCGACATTTCCGAGTCACGCACATCACGAGGTTCTCGCCTAGCTAGTTTCCGCCCTATAAATGCTCGCTTTCTTCATTGTTTCATGATGTTGGAATCACGTTCTCTTTGTAGAAGTCTTCCGCGCACTCTGTTAGTACAACCCATAACACTTGGTATCAGAGCTACTTTCCAAGCTTCCCGTTCTTTAGAGTGTATTACCCCTCGGGGGGGGGGGACAGGGAAGGATGTCGTGGTAACAGGAGCAGCGCAAGAGCCGGCCAGGAGAACGGGTAGTTGCTCCTAGCGGCCATGAATTCAAAGGCGCTCCTACAGCACCGACGGATCGTTGCCCTCGACGGTTAAAATCGACCGTGGCCTCCCTCCCCCCGGGTGGCGAACAGCTTTTGCTGTCGTCGCAATTAATTGCGTGAGTTAACAGTATTCGTTTGGGCATCTTCGGAGTTAATTTGATTGGCAGCTAACGTCGGCAGGATCTCCGTCAGTGCACGTCCGAAGATGTCGGTGTCAGAATATGATGTTTGTCTAGCCTGCAGTGGGGTACTCTATAGCGAGTACAACGCAATTAGGGTTTCCTATATGTATCTCAACTGCTGCTAGTGAAAAACCCTCTTTCCCGTTTCTGATTCTTGCCTAGCCTTTCGACATGCTATCAGAGCAGGTCGACACTCCTGGGTCGATCCTGTGGGTGGGCCCCACCCGATGCTTCCGCTACTCTACTGCCTGTAGCGCGCCCCGGGCGCGTGTTGTTTCCTGCCTGCCGCGCGCTCCGGGCGCGCAGCGATTTTTCTTCCCGCCGCGCGCTCGGGGCGCGCGGCGGTTTTCTGCCCCGTCGAACCGCGCATCGCCCCCTGTCGACCGTCGCGTCGCCCCCCGTCGCCCGACGCGGCCCGCGCGACCTGCACTAGGCCCACGCGCGGCCCGTACGGGCTGCGCCAAGCCCGCGCGCGACCCGTACGGGCTGCGCCAGGCCCGCGCGCGACCCGTACGGGCTGCGCCAGGCCCGCGCGCGGCCTGGGCAGCCCGCGTACGGTTCGTCCCGAGCTTCTGACCGCGCCCCACCCCCGCTGCTGCCCGCGCTCCTGTGTTAGGGTTTAGGGGTGGAGAGTATGGGGGTGCCGGGTGTGCGAGCCGTCCCCTACTCCTCCTCCTCCTCTTCCGTCTCCCACTGCTGCAGCTGCCGCTGAGGGGGGTGGATGTGTTGGAGCCGTAGGAGTGGTACGAGGGGGGTGGCGTGTGAGCAGTGCTAGAGGTGCAGCAGGGAGTGTGTGAAAAGGGTGTGGGACAGCTGGGGGAAGTTGTGTGGAGGCAGTCGTCTTGTCGTCCACAGCGCCTGAAGTCCAGAGAGCCACGACCCCCTGTGGCCGTGTAGTCCGGGGCTCTGCGCCCGGTAGCCATAGTGTGAGCACTCCTAGGAGCACAGCGAGCCAGCTGCGCCTGTCGCCGTGTAGTCCGGGTTTAGCCTGGTAGCGACAGTGCTGCGCACTCCTCTCGCCCGTGTGTCTGCAGCTTCAGCCGTCGTCTCGCATCTTCTCGCCCCCACAGTTTCTCCTCCTCCTCACCTGCCCTCTGTGATAGCCTCTAGCTTTGCTTATCCTTGTGAACTATTGCTCTGATTGCTTGTTGTGTTGATTGTACCCCACTTTGACTATGGGGGTGTGTCAGAATGTGATGTTTGTCTAGCCTGCAGTGGGGTACTCTATAGCGAGTACAACCCAATTAGGGTTTCCTATATGTATCTTAACTGCTGCTAGTGAAAAACCCTCTTTCCTGTTTCTAATTCTTGCCTAGCCTTTCGACAGTCGGAAGAAGATGTGGCGTCTGAAAAACCGAAGATCCTGCGTGGCGACTGCTCGAAAAAGAGGGGGTCTACCGTCGTCCCGCCCGGGCGTAGCTGGCGTTGCTGCATGAGGGTGTGTCATGGGCGTTTTTCGGCAGGAGCGGCACAGTGTGGGATGGAAGTTATTTTCAAACCACCGAAAAGATCAGAAAATGCCGCCTACGACTAGACTGTTCGCGTTACGGTCACTTTTAATCGAGATCGGCGAAAAAATCGGAGCAACAGCAGCAGCCGACACTGTACTTCAGGCGACACAGGTTCCCCCTAATCAAAGGAAGTTGCGCCGTAGACAGGGCAGTACGTTGACGGGACAACGGTTTGGCGCAGCGTCTAGACCCGCGAATTTCGCCTGGTCTACCAGCTGTAATTAACAGAGTTGCGACAAATACGGGTCTGGCAAGAGAAACGGATTCCGAGCTTCAGGAGGGGAGAAAACGACCAACTGCGACGACTTTTTGCTGAGGCCGAGTTTCGCGGCTAAGCAGTGGTAGCACAACGAGCTCCCAGCCGGCCAAAGTCTACCGACGTTTCACATACCTCACACCAGGTTGCCTCGAAGGCAATAAGTAAGTCCTGCTGGCACCTGGACGAAAAAGGTGGGGCCTTTGTGAAACTAGAAACGTGAATGAATTGACTACGAACGAGGTGAGTACAAAAAGGAAACCCTAATTGGGTTGTACCCCCTATGGGATACCCCACTATAGCCTACACAAACAAGTAAGCTATAATGTTCTGACACACCCCCATAGGCAAAGTGGGGGAGAACAAGGGGTCACAAGACCAGTCAAGCAAAGCAAAGCAAAGCTCAGGGTGGATCACAAAGTCACCACACATTCCGAGCACAAGGTCAAGGGCCACAAGGCCAGTTCGCATGCAAGATCATATATAGAGATATACAAGAGTCAAGCAAGCTCAAGAAGTGAGCAAGTGAGACAAGACAGGCACAAGACCCAGCTGCGTGCAGCAACGCTGATGATCACAAGGCGCAAGTGCCTTGGTGAAGACATCAGCAGTGTTGGCCTCAGAGGCCACGTACGCAAGTCGCAACTGTCCACGCTGCTGCAGCTCACGAGCAAGAAAGTAGCGGAGAGCAATGTGCTTTGTCCTGTGCTCCAGTCGCTGCTCTCGACACAAGGCCAGCATGGCCTTGTTGTCTACGTACAGGACTGGAGGAGAACGAGGCGGCTCTCCAAGGTCGGTCAGCAGGTAGGTGAGCCAGCGAAGCTCCTGAGCAGCCATAGCCCCGGCGTAGATCTCAGCCTCACAACTGAAGCCGAGAACAGAAGACGAGCGAGTAGCCCGCCACGAAACAGAGCCGGAACCAAGGCTGAAGGTGTAACCCTGTGACGACCGCTGTGTAGCCTGTTCGTCAGCCCAAGAAGCGTCCGCGTGCCCAGTGAGGACCACTGGACTGCGCCCTCCAAGCACTAGCCCCATGCCCGACGTACTGCACAAGTAGCGCAACACCCTCTTCGCTGCAGCCATGTGCTCTGGTCGGTGTCTCCCAGGAGCAACATAACGTGCGAGAATGCTGAGAGGGTATGCGAGGTCAGGTCGTGTGCAGGTCATCAGGTACATGAGGCAGCCAACAAGCTCTGCATACGGGCCACTCAGCTCTACGGACTCATCCGAAGGCAGAGCTGAGAGCGAGTGGCGAGTAGGCAGAGGATTGGCCTGAGGCGAGGAGTACGTGAAGCCGAAGCGCTGAAGGACCTGCTGCACCATGTGTGACTGAGTCAAGGTAATGGTGCGGCGTGCTCTGTCCCGGGTGATCTGCAAGCCAAGGTAGCTGCGCAGTTCACCCAGGTCAGTGCACGTGTGTCTCTTCTGCAGCTCGGACTTCACGTAAGCGAGTCCAGCAGTGTCCGCTGTGGCAAAGACCAAGTCGTCGACGTACACGAGGATGTAGAACGGCGGCAGAGAAGTGTCGGTGCGCAGAAACAGCGACGGGTCGGCAGTAGAAGGAGCAAACCCAAGTGCCGCAAGCGTAGTCCTCAGTGTGTCGTGCCACTTACCTGGCGCCTGGCGGAGACCGTAGACTGGACGCCGGAGACTCCACTGGGTACCAGGAGGGAAAGACCCAGTGAAGCCAGGTGGGCGACGCAGCCAGATCTCCTCGTGCAGGCTGCCCTGCAAGAAAGCTGTGCTGAAGTCGAGAGAGTGCAGCTCGTAGTCACGGTGAGCAGCAACGTGCAGCAGTACCCAAAGAGTGGTCATCTTCAGGGTGGGGGAGAAGGTCTGAAAGTAGTCAACCCCCTGCCGCTGACTGAAGCCACGAGCCACGTAACGCGCCTTGAAGACAGGCGGAGAACCTGGCGGCCGCTTCACCCTGAAAATCCACATGCCACTGACGATGTTCGCCCCAGGAGGGGGAACAGCGTCGACGTAGGTGCCTGTGGACTTCCAGGAAGCCATCTCTGCATCCATAGCTGCCTGCCACTAAGAGGAGTAGGGACCCTCTATCGCCTCCGCGTAAGAGCGCGGAGTCGGGATGTCTAGTGCATCCGGGTCTCCCTCAGGGGCTAGCAGTACAGATGCGAGATGAGGTGAAGCGGCGGCCAGACACTGGAACTCCTCCTGCCTGTCCTCAAGGACGTCCGTGCCAAGGGCACACTCACCCCCGACGGACGGAGGATTGGCAGACTCAGACTCAGCGACAAGACTAGCAGCGTAGTCTAGGCGACAGCGCGCAGCAAAGTCGACAAGCTCCGTGACAAGGGCAGACGCAGCAGAAGACTCGAAAGAAGGGTCAGTGACAGCAGTAGCAAGAAGACG